TTGGACGTGCCTTTCACATATCACATCCATTCGCGTCACATAATACCAAATTTGGTACATGTGAAGGTAGCGAAACGGCCGCGAGCGCATCATGAGTGCGGCAGGTAGTCATGTTGTTACATGACACGCATCTCATGATTATCATGTTTGCACCATTCGCATACCTTCGTCATCCCTTTACGTTCCGTAATACCAAATTTGATGTATGTGAAGCTAGCGAAACGACCGCGAGCGTATCATGAGTGTGGCATGCATGTAGTCACGTTGTTACATGACACGCATCTCATTATTATCATGTTTGCACCAGTCACATACCTTCGTAATCTGTTCACGTTGCGTAACACCGAATTTGGTACATGTGAAGCCAGCGAAGCGACTACCACCGTACTATGAGCGTGGCGCGTAGTCGTGAATCATGGCTTACATGACATGCATGTCATGATTTCCACGTTAGGGTTTGTCACTTGTGTTTGCCATGCAGTCACGTCATACTATGCCAAATTTGCAACATGTCGTGTGAACAAAACCACCGTAAGAGCAGCAAGACCTTGAAATATAAATATTGACATTCATAACATACATCTCATGATTTTCATGCTATAACTAGTAATTTATGCTTGTCATACAGTCATGTTATGCCATACGAAATTTGGTATTGATACCATAAACGAAACGGCCAGGAGAGCTAGAAGTCGGAGGTGGCTATATAGATAGATAGATAGATAGATAGATAGATAGATAGATAGATATATAGATAGATAGATAGATAGATAGATAGATAGATAGACAGATAAATAGATAGATAGACAGACAGAAAGATAAATAGATAGATAGATAGATAGATAGATAGATATATAGATAGATAGATAGATAGATAGATAGATAGATAGATAGATAGATAGATACGTTCGAAGTCGCCGAAGGTTGCTAAGAAATGCTATGCAATAAAATGAATCGTAACCAACTTGCCCTATTTTCGATACGACCCTTCAATGACTTGGAGCGCAAAAGAAATCGCGTATCTGCATGACGGTATAGCTTGCACTTATATAGCACATTCACACTTGAGAAGCAAAGTGAAAAGGAAAACGCCAGAGTGGCCCGATAGCCATGTGCGCGCCCGTCGCAAACCTTCGCATTTCTACTGCATCTCGTACGATGCAGTACAATCACGCTTTTCATGAGCAGCGAAGCATGTGACTGCCGGCACTGTTGCTGACCGCACCTTTTCCCTCGCGTTGGCTACAAGCTCGTTCTCATGCTTGAATAATAGCACAAGAGGCCAGCATGCGGTATTACAATGTTTGGTGTCATTAAAATGTCAGTTTTTGCATATATCGGCGGAAAACAGCAGCTGCAGTCGCGGGCTGGGTGCTCTAGATAATTGAGATTCCGTCTGTACACTGTCGTTGTTTATGAAAGGGAACACGCGAACGCGTGGCCTGCACTCTGCGGCGGCTGCCCACAGCACCATCAACCGACAAGTGAAGAAGGCTCGTTCGCTTTTGGCGTCATCTATGGCCAAGCAAGATAACGAGTCATGGGCGGTAAACAAGCGCTTCTAGATTAAGTTCTCTCATGATTCGCGTGGCGAGCGATAACGGGGGATTACTGCAGCTTGTGCCGTGGTCGCGAACAACGTTTGATATGTTGGCAGTGGACTGCGCACTGTAGGCGTGTGCAGAGAAAGAGTGCGATGAAGCGGCGCTTGTCTAGCTGCATAACTCGTTATTAGTTTTCTCGGCAACAGATGACGCTGAAAGGGAACGTGTTTTCTTTTGCTGTCGGTTGATGGTGCTGTAGGCAGCCGCCGCAGAGCGCAGACCACGCGTTCGCGTGTTCCCTTTCATAAAGGACGACAGTGTACAAGCTTCTGCCACCGCCATCCTCACCACTGGGTGAATTCATTCAACTTTGTCCGTTTCCTGAGCATCAAATTTCTTTCCGAACTTCAGTCGTGCATGCGAAGCATGGAAAAGAAACATTTCATACCTTCCCGAGTGTTGTTTCGGGAGACTTGCTGGTAGCAGACACACGGGCCGCTGTGGCATCGGGTTCCGCTAGCTGTAAAAAAGCAAGCCACGTGAAAACATACCAACTCACTGCTTCTGGAACTTCTACTTCCACTGTTCTCTAGATGAACGCGTCTTTGTCAAGGCTGGAAGTTTTTCCGTGCTGCTCGCGTATTTTGCAATCGCTCGATGCGAGCCAGCACCGACACCTTGGCCGCCATGTTTAACTTGCAGTTGGATGTTAACACCACGTGGTTTGAGCTAGTGCAGCAAAAGCTGTGTATAGCTGAAAGGTGATCCACTTTCGCGCCGCGCAAAATGCGGCCTCGGAGCGATTTCTTTGCGGAGGCTTAGCGGCGTTGTATTCTGGTCGCTTGGCGGTTGAAGCGAGTGAGATTCTAATGAGTGTCGCCGCTTGCGCTTCCTTCGAGAGCAAATGTGAACGCGTCTTTAATGTAGTTTTTGCTGTCTTCATACTTAAAATAAGTAAAACGAGTTTAGAAATAAACTTTTAATTCTGAGTTGCGCATTTGCTATCCTCTTCCATCCTCCCTGTGTTTTTTGAGCTATGCCTTCAACCAACTAACCCAAAATCTGTTCTTTAGAATCAAAGTCACAATGACCTGCTTCAAATGATGTGCCGTAAGGCTGATGTGACTTTCGTGGAAGAAAAATATTTAGGTTTGATAACAGTTATGCTGATAGACTTATCTCGGCATGAAGCACGTACTGACGGCTCCAGAAAAGTGAGAGGTGGAAAATATATGTACCCAGTTGGGAAGCTTGAGGTCATCGATTAAGGCCAACGCAGGTATCAATTCCCGTGTAATAAAGACAGAAAAACGAGCTGGGCTGCGACTGTGCAGAAAGCCACAGTGACAGGTAGCCTTTGAGTACTGAACTTTGAAGCCAGAGTGTGCTAAAACCATTTTATCACGGGTACGTGTGTATTCCACACTAAAAAAAGCGTATGCACGAGTTTGCTGCGAATATTATATTGAGAAAGAAAACATAAGCAAAATATTATGGAAACAAGTGGGCAAAATCTTCCGTTAACTCGATTAGCTCCGGTCATTTCACCCATACGCGAAAGCTTCAGACTAAGTTTACACGAAGCGTTGGACGAGCTCATCTGCATTTATCTTGGTCAAACTGTGTGCCAGGACGGCACTCAAAGGTAGAAGTGCGTCAAACAAGCGCAGGGTTCTGATTATTCGGCAACGTCTATGTCAGATGGTATAGTTTATGTGCCGCCGTGCCGCGCAGCTTGACCAAAATCAGCTTTCAAATAACCATCTGGCTTCGACTAAAAATCATCTTATAGCGTGCTGAAAGCTAGAAAAAATTACAGCATATTCACGGGGTGAATGATGATGAATGGGCGAAGCTCCGGAGGGATTCATCGGTAAACTGTGAATCTTCCGTGTAATTCGCCCAGTCGATCATCATGTAAAGACGGGAGAAACGCTGTGTGTGTATATACACAAATCAACTTTTATTTGTTCTTAGACGATGGATGGCTTGCGATGTCCCTTGCCTCGCGCGCTCGCACATCGGGATTCTGTCTGCGAGCGCGCGCTGCTGCCGCCTTGCGCTCTCTCCGCTGTGCAGCCTTATCCATCCGGTGACTCCGAGCGCGCGCCAACAGCGAACGGATTTTATTACAACGCTCCCCCTAGCGTACGTCGCCACACTAAATCGAACGATTGCCTTCAACCAATGACACGCGCCATATGTGACATCATTCCTATTTTATAAGATCTCGCGTCTTTCATCAACTACAAGTACCGCTTTCTAGTTTATAACATCTTGCATCTTTTCATCATCAGCTACAAGTACCACCATCTAGTAAACACTACAAGAACTAAACGAGAGGTGGCTACATACAGGAGACGGTACCGCCATCTAGTGAACACTGCAAGAACTAAACTAGAGGTGGCTACATACAGGGGACGGTACCGCCATCTAGTGAACACTGCAAGAACTAAACTAGAGGTGGCTACATACAGGCTACAGGGGACGCACAGCCCACGCCCTAAGGAGCTTCGCCCCTAAAAAATATCTCAACGCGCTCAATAAGTGCTGCGCTTCATGCTGATTGACTGACGATGTCGGTCGAAGCAGCGATCCCGAAATTAACTCTTAGCACACTGCTACAGTCATCACCACCCCCCAAGATCTTTAAAATAGGGACTTTTTAATCTTCAGTATTGTATCATACAATGAAAACTGTTTTTTGTATCGACTTATCTGCTAGCCAAACTGACAGTACCCCCGAGCAGCATAAAATCATTGCAAATCATTTTAGTGCGGTAAATAAATTTTCTTACTGTTCATGGTTTTCGTTGCTTGTCATCGTCACAGTCACGGTCAGCAAAAAAGAAAACAACTTCTAAAGCACTGACATTCCATGAAAAGGTGCTTTTTTCAATGGAGCGGTACAAAAATGCATGCGTGCCACTAACCCGCAGGGTGCGTCGAACTGGAAGCCGTCGTATCCCACAGTTCCCTGCGATTGCCCATTTTACCGGTCACCTATTGAGCGTGTCGCGAGTGCCTGATTAAAAATTCCCAAAATAATTAATAAGAAAACACAAATTAACAAAAGAGAAATTATTTGCAGGTGTACAATTTTTTATGTGGAAAAATTGTTAAACCCAATAAATGCTAATATTCACATCAACCTCAATCTATTCAATCGGATTTTAGGACGCCCGGAAACTTTTACGAGTGTCCATGTTCTTTGAAAACGAAAGTAGCGCAGAGTTGCCCGAACCTGTTTTGATTGTGACCCTGCTGTCGATACCCGCTGAAATTTAGGCAGAAGCAAAAATTTAGCCAGTAGTTTCTTTGTCGTGAGCTCGCATAGTTGGTAAACAATTGTGGTTGCATGTAAGTACGTTGCTAGATCGAAGTTAAATTTTAATAACGAAAACTTTGTGTGTTGATCATTGACATACCAGCGCTTTTTGTTCCGCGTGATTGCAGTCTTCTACTTGGGCATCGTGCGAGAACTGTTCACCACAGAACTGACGCTTCGCTGCATGGGAACTGCCGTAATACTGCTCACTGGCGCCGGCTACGCGTTGTCTGCAAAGGCCCGCGCGATTACGTGGCTCCTGGTACCGTTTCTTTGCGGCCGAGCGGGCCGGTCGGCTCTGGTCACCGCTAGCGTCTCGCTCATTCTGAGAGGCAAGTTGAGAAGGTGCTGTTTTCTGCGCATTGCAGATTGATGCAAATAAGGATGAGTAGTAGAGAGGTGGTAATTACAATCAAGTTTTGGTAAAGAGAGAACAAAAGCGGTTGATAGACAAACGGGTCTTTTGTTATTCTAGCGCTGATGTTGTTGTTGTGTTGGTCTTAGTGCAGTTCTATAGATCTCGCGAAGTCATGCGCTAATGTTGTTTTTGTATATGACCATGTGCAGATTCAAATCCAGTGCTATATCCTGTCCTACTGCCATTCATGCGCAAGTATCCATGTGGTTCTAAATGCTGTGCTTAATGTAGTTCAATTCCCACGAAAACCGAAGGTGTACGTAGCATGGGTAACCCAGCCATTCCATAAGCAGTCGCGTACTTGCCCAGGTGGTAGTGCCCTCTTTTGCCCAACGAGGGTATGCTCTGGTTGTTTCAGGAGCATTTACCATCACCCTAGGTAAATTATTTTTGATTAATGTTAGGGTATATCTGCAGCCTGTAATATTTTAGACCTGGTTATTTAAATTTGTACTGAATTTATTACTGTTAGCATTGTTACCAATAGGTGACCATGCTGTGTAAGAGAGTCGATAGACTACAAGCCAAGCCATTAAAGTGCAACGCACTTGCTCATTGAAGAGGGGGTGGTTGCTGGAACTGACGTCTGCACAAGTGGTCTTGTTATTCCTAAGGGAGCAACCGCTTGTCGAGAGCGCTTAGAAGGAAAATCAGGGCGCATTTGTGTCATATCCTTTACCACTTGCTGGCTACTCAAGCTGAGTGTTGTTGTTGACCACGATAGTGATAGCGCGAGAACAGAACGACGACAAAAAGACAAGGACACGAGCGCTAACTTTCAACTGGAAGCTAGCGCTCGGGTCCTTCTTGTCCTTTGTCGTCGTTCTGTAGTCGCGCTATAACTCTCGTGATGTCATACCAACTAGCCCAAACTTCCACACTTCTAAGTTGCTGTTTATCTTGCATTGCTGAACTGCAACGCTCTATGTAGGTCCGATCGAGAGTATGATGACCAACAGCAAGGTAGCTGTGGACTCATTCATGTGTCTGGGTGCTCTGTCTTACAACCACACCAAGGAGCGCCTTCTGCTGATGTACAAGCCCATCAAAACGGATCATCTGGGACTTTGACGTGAGTTTTCACTAGCGTGTATGCCGGAAAACCAATACAAACAAAATAAAAAAATGTTTGTTTTATCTTCTTTATCAGAAAGAATAAAGTGCGGCTCAATTAAAATGCAAGGTTCTGTAGTACCATTGGACACTTGTTTAAAATGGTTCTGACTGATGGTAGCATTCTCACCGGTCATAAATGACAAACGTGTTTATGTCAGATTTGTTTCGCCTGTATGATGAATGGCAAAAGTTCCATCTCAGAAGCGGATGCACATAAGTATATACGAATGAACGTGCACTCCGGACTGACGTCATGGGCCGGATGTCCGGTGACCACGCCTTCATAGAACCATTCAGCGGGCACAAATGGGCCTATTTCTTTCTTTTCAGAGGTGACTGGCTGCCACGTTCCAGTAACTTAGGCGGGGCCTCTCCGGACTACTTTAAGTTTCTTTTAGAAGCTTAAATTAAAGAACAAGTATCGTTACAGGATAGTGTGTGTAATATCTAAGAGGCACACAATTTTTTAAAAGTTTTTCATTGAGAAGACAATGAATAAATTTGAAGGTACAAAACACGACTTACTGGTAGTGGCAAAGCTTTGTGATGGTAGGTGCTCGAGTAACAGTATAAGCACTCGCTCTTCACTATTGAAAAAAAATCGCAAAATCACGTTAAGAAATGTAGCACGCTTCTGCAGTCGTGCAAGAAACAACTTTGTTAAACTGCTGCCGCTATATTTGTGATTGCATCTGCATGACTTAATGTGTACGTGTGTTGTGAAACGTTGTAAATTTTTGTGAAACGTGTAACACTTTACATTTTGCATTTCGATCGTGCTTCTAGGAGCAGGCGAAAGTCATTCACAACGAAACTGCGGCCATCGACGAAGAAGTCAAACCAATTGAGAAAGAGGTAACTACCCACGCACCTCTGTCTGGCTGCCTATTGTAACACTGTTGCATTTTTTTCGCCATTTTAGTTTGATTTCATGCCAGCGAATTGTTCTTAATATCTTGCACTGATCTGGGATCGCTGAAAATGCCTCCCTTCTGTACTTTGTGTTGCAATTCCCGCCACAACGGTTTCTAGAGCAACGTTTGAAAATGAAGCCACCAGTGAAATTAATATTGTTCCCAGTTGCTGTCCACGCTAAAATTGTACCTAGCAGTCACGCCCAATATCAGTTGCGAAATGTGGCCTGTGGTCAAAGCGGTGACAGAACTACATACACAGGGACACAGACAGAAAAAAACTCGGCGATGTAAACGCTGTATCGGCTCGTGGTATTTGCGAAAAAAAAATTCACTTTTCTTGCTGTTACAGCGAAAACTTGGAGCTTCAATCATAATATTAGCCACCGTGTTGCAACTTATATTTAGCGTCACTTTATTAGCACGTACTGAACAACGTGCAAATATTTACTGACTATACCAAAAAGCCTAGTCACCCACTATCTACATCTCGCTGCACTTGTCTGTCCTATCGCACTATTACCTCAGTGGCGAGTAACAATCCAAATGTTTACTTATGTATGTGACCTCTGTTCAAATTTGCGATTACACCTACCTGCCCTAATATTTGATTCGCGTCTGCTTGAACTGCCATTGTCTCGAAAAAGAAGCACAGGTTCTGGTCCAACCGATTGGATTGATTCCGAGGTATCGACAGAAGTCACGGGGTGCAAACGTTGAGCAGCAAATGACTCCGCAATACCAAGTCACTAGACGACCAAAGTGATCCTTCGTGGTCATTCGCTTCCCTATCAAATTGCTCACGCAACCGGTGCTAGTTGCAAGGGAGATACAATGTTTAAATGCGTTATGAACAACACCTTGAGGTCGTTGAGCAAACACACTTTGCGGCTAGCAGGCAGTGCTATAAAAATCTCAGCCAAATCTTGCTCTCATGAGTGACAAGGAGCGTTAACAAGCGGATCACGAACTCGTAGTCACTATTTACTCGGGTGCTCTGTTTTTATATGGGGAGCAGCACTCACTCGCGTCTGAACCGTCGGCGCCCGCTGTGTGACGTCGCAGAGCGCGTAGTATTCTGTTGGCCAATAGCTGACATAAGCCAAGTGCGGCATTTAAATCATATGCGCTTCTTGCGAAAGAGTACCACCACGTGCTCGAGCAGTCCTTCTTCATCTGCCAACAATGCATAGTGAGGCGCAATCATACACATAAATAACAACGGGAAATCCGCTCGCATTTCATCACGTGGGCTGAAGGTCATGATGCACCCATATGTAACTTTTTTCTGCCGTGCCATCTCTCTCTGTGTAGCATCTAATGCACTGGTAGGGACGTCAAAAGAAAGAAAGCACTTGAAGCACCAGACAAAGTCGTGTAACTTCACTTTTTATCTAACCAAAGGAATTTTAGCTGCAATCAACTAGTGGTGCCCTAAACTCCGATACAAACGCCATTCGGTGATTACGTGAAAAAGCGGCTCATGACCTCTTCAGTACATGCTTATCACCATCGGCTAGCCATTGGTTCTCTTCGTCATAGGGTACCTCGGGCAACGCAAAGGTGACAGTGTGGTTGACTGCTGAAAACTGAAGGTTAGCGTCACTGGAGCTTGAGCAAGGCAGTCTCCATGCATTGTGGAATGGGGACTGCCTTGCAGTCATCGTTTGTCTATGCAATCTTCATTGGCTAATGATATCCGTGTAGAAATTCGCCTGGTCTCTTCTTAGCGTTAGCTAAGGGGGCTACAAATATCATGTTTGCAGGTTCTATCTTTGTAATAGATCATTTTGGCCAATGTTGGCCTAGTGTATCTACTACCAGTGTGATAAAATAATACGTGTGCAAAGTCGCTCCTCCACGCTGCTTAGTATGAGCCCGCACTTATTATGGTTTTGATGCTACGAAACACCTACCAGTCATAGATAAAAAAAGACACATAGAACCTCAACAAAGACAACAAAGTGGTAACTTTTTTTTTCAACTTGATCGAAAGTCCACACAACCCAACGATTTTTATCCCACTTTAACTTACCTGTCACTGTACGACAGGTGTCAATATAGCAAAAACCATCAGCCATTTCTTCTCAATCGTGTGAACCCTTGTGCTACGTACGGCAGGTGTCTGGAGACGTGCGTGAAGAGAGGGCGCTCGAAGCGGACGCCGAGTACGTGGACAAGGTATCCGACAACGATCCACGCTCGAAGTTGGTGAGAGAGAAATACCAGGAGCTCAAGAAGGAGCTCCAGAGCGATGACCAGTTCGAGGCCGACTACGCCAAGAAGCTAGAGCTGCGATGCGAAGGTGAGATGCTCGCCCAGCCCTGCATAGTTTCCGCTTGGACCACAAGAACAACAACGAAAAGAACAACAACAAAACTAACGAAGATTATCAGAGCTCGGTTAAACGAATCTTGTCGAATGATAGCAGGATATATCGCGTAAAAAATGTCGCTTTCTTGGCAAGAGTAAGGGCTGTTGTTTTTTGTTTTTGGTTTCTATCATGCAGGCATTTTCTCACAAGGAGTCAGGGCTTGCCGGAATGCGTTCAAGTCGGCCGAGACGCGCTGTTTCGAGGCTCTGTCTATCCTTGGCTACCTGTTCTGCTGGCCGATGAAGCTGACTCTCCTGTGTCACGTTGTGAGCAGTAAGCAACATCAATACTATAATTGTCAATTTGCGATTATAGTACGACTGTTTTGCAAACGTGTTGAGAACAGACTGTTTACCAATCAGTAGCAGTAAGAAGACAACAGCAAGACATGCGGAAAGACGCGCCTTCCTTTGGCGAGATTTAGAACCGATTATATATTACTTCCTCGTTATATGTTCGAAGAATGTTAATACATGCTATGTATCCTAGAAAGTGAAAAATTAACTGTCGAATAATACAGCCTGATGGCCAGATAAAAATTGGCATAGCTTTGCTCTATCTTTCTGTTCACTTTTGTGTATAGGCATGGAAGGTAGCATTTCTTTTTGTTGTGGTTTCCAAGTACCATAAATTCGCTAGTTTTTATGGCACCTTGAATAAATGAGCACTAGTGGCACTTACTTATTCCGAGCTATTAAACCTGATATAGACTTTTGATTCTGGCCTCCAGGATGTCGTATCTTGTGCACCTATAACCTCTTGTTTAGTGTCGTTCTGCTTTCACTAATAGTAATTTGGTAATTATCGCTTCATTTAAAAAAAGATTGGCTATGATGATAGAAATAGGGAAGCCGTAGTTAAACTACGTTTTTTCTCGAGGGAACGTTGGCCATTGATCCTTTCTTTCAGCCATATATTGGTTCGTCAGTCAGTCCGTGTCAATTGATACATTCTGCGCCGAAAGCATTGCTTGGAAAGATCTAATTTCTCTTCTCTTCCCTCAATATGCCCACCTCGCAACAATATATTACCACTGCAATGGCCAATGTCTTCAATGAATGGGTCTTCGTTCTGGGGAGGAGATCCTTGTTGCATTGAATATATAGGCTTGTTTCTTTGTATAGACAAAGTGCAGTAAAATCTTCAGTGGACTGTCGAGCACTTTGTAAATCACACCATACGTTTGTGTCAAATGACATACTACCAACGACGCGTGTCAAAGTGTCAAATCACCAATCAGTTCTCTGCTAGTAGATAACAAGCAAACTGTTATATTATATATATATATATAATATATATATATAATATATATATATATATATATATATATATTATATATACAGGGAATCAGTACTGAAGGACACTGTGGGTGAATAAATTTGCGTGTGCCAGCATTGGACGCTGACAATGTCGCTGGCTGGGGTCAGTGCCTTACGCATGCACTGGTTTTCTTATTATAGAAATGAAACTTCACCGCAAGGAATCCTTGCTCTTCTTCCTGCAATCAGTCAAATTCGGAGGAAAGCAAACTTCACAATCGAGAACTTGTTTACATGCATTGATGTATGCAAAAGCTACAATTAAAGGTTGACTTGTTGTTCATAATGGTTTGCCCTTTCTTTCCTCTTTACCAAAGTAAATACGGCAAGTGAACAGTTCCTTTAAACAGCATAAACAATCCCCGGTCACCGAAAGTCAATCTGACTGTAATCATGAACTATGAGCGATTATGGGACAGGTTCAATAGGGGAAAAGTGTGGGGCAGGCTACTCCATTAGAAGATGATATAAAGAGAAGGGCAGTGTGGTTATCGAAACCTACACATCGCCTTAGTTATTACACCAGAAGCAGCAAATGGCGTGCGAAATATCAGAGCTACAAATGAACCGAAAATAAAAAGAAAGGCAAGAGCGAAAAACAAAACTTAAACAAAACGTAGAAACAACCATGATATGAAATGTCGCCTGCAGTGGCTTTTTCGAACAGAGAGCCGCACATACAGCGCAATTCAATAGCCTGCAAACCTCGGCCCCTTAGCTTAACTTCATATGAAGCAGCGAGGAAAGGACGGATACTTAAAATTAAGTGCACAGCGCAGGCACTGACTCGGCGTACTTGTCTGAGATGAGACAGGTGTCTTGCGTCATTTCGGTCATTCGATGCCTTCATTGCGACAATGCAGCCTTCCTTGGCAAAAGAACCTGTGACGGCCTGGAACCCATCAACGCGGGTTTCGGCCAGAGCATCTCCGCCATGGAGGCCGTCAAACGGGAATTCGATGCCAACTTTAAGGTCAACGTGCAGTACAAGGTGAATTGGCTCATCACAAAACAGGCCTAATAATTGCTCAAAGGGGGCCTCGAACACTTTTCAAGACCTTGTTGTTTTACATATTTCACTAACGGGTTGCGTAGACGGAAGGAGTAAGAAATTAGTGCAGCAAGAACGGTAGTGATAGGGACATGCATTTCAAAGTTACTCGGCAGAGAAAACCCAAAATACTATGAAATGGACGGCTACCCTCAACTCGATTTCCGCGGGCTAACCAGAATACTTTTCCGTCCCCTCATGAAGACGGAGGGCCGCCCAATAAAATGAATTGAAAGTTATTACGTGCATGGTAACAAATAATGTGGTGCTTGAAGTGTGAACCACACGTTGAAAACTTGGCAGCTAACGAACGCGTTTATTACATTCTCTAGTTTTATTGGGTTTTCTTGTTGCTACGGTGTCCATGTATCTTTGCTTTTATGTTTTTCCCCCCTTTACTTTCCTCAAACAGCGGCGGCTGGGGCGTCTCAGCACGTTCTCTTCAGCGCAATGGCGTTCGGGCCTTCTTTGACACACGCTGTAAGAGTGGGATAGCTTGTCAGTGAAAAGCCGCGCTAAAAAATATACCCTACTATGGGAGAGTTACGAGCCGCTGTTGGACGTGTGTTTAGAAAAAGTGGTTAACAATTTAGAGTACTTAGTGCTCTACTATGGGAGAGCTGAGAGTCGTCCCGTGGACTACGTGTGTTTAGACCACGTGTGGTTAGAAAAAGTGGGTGACAATTTAGAGCACTAGGTATACTCTACTATGGGAGAGCTTAAATCCATTCCCTCGGCATCTCCGTGCTCACATCTTGACTGTTTGCATGTGTGTTATGAAAAAGACGATGTGTTTTGAAAGAGTGGTTAACGATTTCAAGTACTTAGTACTCGACTAAGGGAACCTAAAGCTGTCCCGTCCGAAGACTGGCCGTAAGCCGTACACTAGACGCATACTTGGATTGTAAACAATTTTCTCTTTAAATGCTTTGAGGTATATTAGTGCCAATGACTTGGTCTTACAAGTACGTCTATATGTCCCTAGTTTTACTCTGAAAACCTGAACGTCCTGAAAAATACCACGGCGTATTCTGAAATTAGCCTTCGCCAAATGTAGTGTGTTACAACGAACTGATATAATCCAATCAGCCTAGCTATTCGCATTCCCTGAGCGAGTCACTTTTAAGCATACTGCACACAGACCGCGTAAATATCGCTCAGGTGCAAAGTGGAATCGGAGTGATTTAGCTTGGAAAAAATCACAGCATATCCGCGCAGTGAATCATGATGAGTTGGGTGAAGCTTTGAAGGGTTTTATTCGTAAACCGTAAAACGTCCGTCCGTCCGTCTGTCTCTGTCTGTCTGTCTGTCTGCTTGTCCGTCCGTCCGTCCGTCCTTCCACCATCGATTTGTCTGTCTGTCTGTCTGTCTGTCTGTCTGTCCGTCCGTCCGTCCGTCCTTCCATCCATCGATTTGTCTGTCTGTCTGTCTGTCTGTCCGTCCGTCCGTCCGTCCATCCGTCCTTCCATCCATCGATTTGTCTGTCTGTCTGTCTGTCTGTCTGTCTGTCTGTCTGTCTGTCCGACCGTCCGTCCGTCCTTCCATCCATCGATTTGTCTGTCTGTCTGTCTGTCCGTCCGTCCTTCCATCCATCGATCTGTCTGTCTGTCTGTCTGTCTGTCTGTCTGTCTGTCTGTCTGTCTGTCTGTCTGTCTGTCTGTCTGTCTGTCTGTCTCTTCAGGTCCTTTTTCTCCTAGGCCTTTATTGTCCTCAATGCCATTTTGTCATACATACTAAGTAGGCGCCTGACATAGTCCAACACAATTCTCTTTTTTTATAATAGATTTCTCTCTCTCTCTCTCTCTCATTGCTATGAGTTTATGTGACATTTGCTTTCCCGTTTCTACGTTGTATTTGTTATCAGTGATCCTATACAACTCCAAACATTTCATATTCCTAAGTTGCACATCCTTTTTATGTAAAAATTTGCTTTTCTAATTGATTGAACTTCTTTTTCTATTTCAAGACGGTGATTGATTTCAGGCCCATCTCACTGATAATATAAGGTGAGATACCTAAAGATGTAAAATATTTCTTTTTACTGTTTTCTTGCCTTTGTTGATGCCTCAACATACAGCTGATAACTCCTGAGGATGCGATCAACGTCATCAGTCCAGAAGACCTGGCCAAGGGCGTCCAGGCCGAGTTTGAAAATCGACACAAAGCCATTCCTCTTATTGCCGTTGCTCTGAGTCGACTATTCGCCGTCGTTCTTCTTTCGGCCGTCTTAGAGTGAGTCCCGTTGACTTGGTCTTTAACTTGGCAAAGTAAAGCAAGCAATACATTACCAGCCAGGACAAGAGACGAATTCCGAACGTCCCATTTCTAATTATTTGTAAGATGGAAAAGCTTGACACCGGCGTGAGATAGCATGTTGTTGTTCAGCATGAGAATAGAAATATGAAGAAAAATATGTTCGTTTATTTATGAAATGAGAATCTGCTGAGAAATGAGACCTTCACCTAAACCACAATACAAGGCGAATAACTAATTCATAATTGTCGCTGATTGAGCGGCAAATATTGCTAAAATAGTGTTTATTGGTGCGTAAAAGAACTATTCAGCCAAGTGAAATGCTCTGAAGCGTTTATCTCTTAAAATGAAATCCCACGTTTTCACAACGTTAAGAGGCCAGATCACTTTTAGCCAACACGTCCGTTGTGATTTCAGCAGCAAGAATAAACGATGCGCGACCGGAAGAAAAGTATGACATGCATAACCAATGGAATGTCTGATTTGCATGACTAAATGAAGTACTTAGTCTGCTGGTTGGCTATTTATATATATGCATGGTTTCATAGATATTTGATTTGCCACTTCAACATTTTACTGATGAGAAGCTATCTTTGGAACTGATTACAACTGTAAATTATGCAAGCAATGAGCTTCGAAGAGTATGCGGAATGCGCCTCAAAGCATGTCATAAACAAGGTAATTACTCTGACCTTTTTATAAGACCGAAATATACCTGGAAGGTTCATCAAGGCATGGTGTTGATGCACAAAGACATCGCATGTCCTAAATATCTTAGCAAACAGTTACGGTTCTGCAACATATCACGGCAACAATTCAAGACCAGAAGCTATATAAAATTTCTCTCTTTTTACAGGGCCAAGGGCTACGTTGATAGTTACCTGGGAGACATGGCATTCGACAACATATACGTTACCGAATATTTCTGCAAGATCGACGTCAGGCGAGAACGAAAGGTAATTTTTCTGCAACAGAAAATCAAAAGGCATCACGCACATTTAACCCATTCACTCGCCTATCAAGCAGTCGCTCACCTTGTAGGTAGATTGCTGAGTGGAACCCTGAGTGGGACGTAGCCGGTGCGTGACCTAGACAATGAGTCTAGCACTAGATCATTGACCCATAGCCTCCTTGTAGTTGTTGCAGTGTGTACACTTCACCTGCATGTGCACTTTCCTAATTTTTTTAGAACATGGCCTTCTTCTGATTTATTTATAATGCAGGGTCTGAGCACGCTTCTGCCACTCAAAAGATACGAAGCCATAGACATATACGACCCACTGGAGTTCCGGTTCTCACGCAGGGAAACAACAGTTCTGGTAATAGACCTTGCTTTGTGTAGTGTCACTGTAGTGTGTTGCACTGTGTAGTATTGCACTACGCTTTTACCATTGTATCGCTCGATGGTGGATACAATTTGGAATTATGTTTCAGGAATGCATTAAGGAAGCTATAGGATTCATACCCCTCGGTTTAATATATATATATATATATATATATATATATATATATATATATATATATATATATATATATATATATATATATATATATATATATATATATATATATATATACGATCGGACCATTTCTAGCCTTTATCCATTAAATATAAGTGTTGTTCTGCTTATCAAATATCGCCGTGACATCTAAAAAATGCAATGCCTCCTAATGGTCGACACCCACGTGATATACTTCCCTCACGAGTTCAAGAGCTAGTTGTTGCGTGGTCTAATAATCTTTGTATGCCTTCTATACACATGTACCACCCCGTATATATATATATATATATATATATATATATATATATATATATATATATATATATATATATATATATATATATATATATATATATATATATATATATATATATATATATATATATATATATATACGGGGTGGTACATGTGTATAGAATATAGAAGGCAGGAAGGCATATAAAGATTATTTGACCACGTAACCACTAGTTCTTGAACTCGTGAGGGAAGTATATCACGTGGGTGTCGACCATTAGGAGGCATTGCATTTTTGAGATGTCACGGCGATATTCGATAAGCAGAACAACACTGATATTTAATGAATAAAGGCTAGAAACGGTCCGATCGTTTGTTTTTCAAATTGCCCTACGACTTCCTCATATAGGAGCTTGTTTGCAGCTTTTTTTTTTGTCAGCGGCAGTTATTTGAACATCTATTGAAACACATAAAAAGAATACATCTAGAGAGCGCATCTTTCTCTGTGGTCGCGCATGCCTACCTTAGTTTTTGAAGATAACTGCCAGATAGCGCTTCGACAATCCAATTCACCAATGTTCTCGAACAGAACATCAAATAAACGTTTTGTTAGCTCTCTCCAAATGCAATACTATTGTCTTTCGACGACATTTGCAGTAAAACATGCAGATACAGAGCACATTTTTACCCCTTCTTCAGTCCCCTACACGGCAGTGTGCTGTCTCTCTGATTAGGCAGATAGAAATGAGGTGCGTTTTCTTTTACTTCAAAAACGACTACTACTAAACTTTATCATCTGCAAACAAGGAAGTTTCAACTTAAATTGAAGACGACGCAGCGAGCGATGTAATGTAAAATGATAGGTGTAATTTTGGGAGACAGGGAGAGAGCAGAGTAGTCCAGGGAACAAATCGGGGGTAAAGGATATCATAGATCTGAAATCACAAAGAAACGGACAATGGCTGGGCACGTATCGCAGAGGCATGCAGGATAACCGCTGGTCGCTAGGGTAACTTACTAAATTTTCAGAGAAGGCAAACGAGTCAGGGGAAAACTGAGAGGCTGGCATGTTAAACAGCAAATGTACTGCTTCGCAGATTTCATTTTTCATCGTTGGCAAAACGCTTTCATATACCTCAGTTGAGTTCATGTCTAAAAAGCATAGGTGTGAGGCCTAGTACACAAGGCCTTTGATTTCAGAACGGAGAGACATTAGTATAAGCCCCTACCCCAGAAAGAGAAGTCTTGTCTGGAAAACAAACCTTTATTGAAGGTAATACGCTTTAAGCCTGCTTGACCGGTAGAGGGAATATAAAACAATGTTGGATGAGTAAGACTATTTGGTACTCTATTGCCGGAGCACACTTAGAAGGGCAGGCAGTGTTTAGAAAAACGCAACCGCGTCAGAGCAAGTATACCCCCCATCGAAGTGCTAAGTGCGGCTGTCTTGGCCTAAATGATCGTGGTGTGTTTAGGAAGAGTGGTTAGCGATTTTGAGTACTTGGTACCCTACTATGGGAGAGCATAAAGCCGCTCCTTGGGCCTCACACTTATGAGCGGTATGACGCGCTATACAAAGCCCACACTTTGCTTTGTATGTTAAACTTCCAAGCATTTCCCCGAGGGTGAGCATGGTTAAGTGCGAATGCACGGGATGATGCTATGAGGGGGAGTAAAGTTAAAATCCGTTGGCATTCGCCAGTGAGTTAACGTAAACTACCCCGTGTGATCACAACGCGATTCCCAGGAACCACTAGACCCTCTCGGGAACTCTTGGTGAGTTTACGCGCATATGTGAGAGTAAATTCGCACTCTAATAATGTTAATGTCCGCGGCCCGCTTCACCCGCTTGCGCTCGGCATCACGGGCCCTTCGCCGCGCTGCCTTGTCTTCAACCGGCGCGACATCTTCAACGACGCATGCAATGCTCGCATTCAATTGCGTTGTACTCGTTGTTGGAGGTATCGCAGTCGAGGTTGATGCCTGTGATGGATCCATACCTATGACGACTTGCCGATCTCGAGCAAGTCGTGGAGCGGAGGGTGGAGTGCGCGCAGTCACGTGGTGTGTGACATCGCTGCACCGTCGCTACAGACGCTCCTCTTCACTCCTCGTGCAGTTGCTAGGGGAGAGGAGGAGGCGCACCGTGGAAGGCGGATTCAGTGTCGCTTATAGCGTGCATTCGCACTTAAATAAGTGGTTACGATTCAGAGCACTATAGGTACTCTACTATGGGAGAGCATAAAGCCGTCCCGGTCAGTGAACACGAAGTCTCTATGTGTTTAGAAAAAACTGGTTATCGATTTAGAGTACGTGGTACTCTACTATGGGAGAGCTTGGAGCCGTCCCTTGGTCCTGACAAGGAACAACACAAATCCAAGGGGGTTACGCACTTGTAGGGTGTACCGTAAGTTCGCTGGTGTTGCGACGCGCGCCTTCGACGACTTTACGAAGGGCGCTACAAATCTCACCGCTGCAACCACTGTTTCGAAAGACGGCGACGCCAACACGGCCCCGAAGGCGCCACTGCTTCGAACTCCGCCGGGAAGGTCACCAGCCGTTTGATAGCGTAGGTTTCTCAGCTCGCGACTGCTTTTACGCAGAGCTGATAGACGAGCGGACGAGACGACGGTGAGTTAAACAAGGTTTATGTACAGCATATATACAGAGGCGTTACAAATTCGGCACTGGGGCCGACAGCTTAGAGACCCGAAGAGCAGAGCTCTCCTCTCTAACACATAGGTCTGCTCTCAAATAGGTCTGCTGTGAAAGGGGTCTGCTGCTAACACATAGCTCAACTCTCTATCACATAGCTCTCTTCTCTGACACACATGTCTGCTCTCACATAGGACTGCTAACACATAGCTCAACAGCGACACACATGTCTGCTCTCACATAGGACTGCTAACACATAGCTCAACTCTGACACACAGCTCAACTGCGGCACACATGTCTGCTCTCACATAGGACTGCTACTCGCGACGCGCCGCAGGGCTTCTTTTAAATGCACCGGGTGGATTCTTTGAATAACAAAATGTCCAACCAGAAGCGCCGCTGGTCGTGAGGTCAGACTCCTCCAATGGGGTCGCCGCTGGGCCGCGTCATTCTTTCTCATCGAATCTGGAGAGGCTGCGCTGCAGGTGGCTGCACCCAAGGACGAGTGACGTCGCCAGGCATTGCGTCAGATCCGCCAGACAGGAAGGCGCCGGTTGTTTACTCGACGGGCTCGCGGGCTGAGGTGACTCACTGCACGTGCGCGCCAGAAAGGCACCGTCGCGTGATGACACCGTTGAGTTGTTGATCGCGTCAGGTGGGCTCGCGTGCTGGCCTTTACACAGATTTTCTTTTTACGAGGCACGGACGTTCGCTGCGGACTCGCAGGCATAAGAGCACCCCCGCCGCCAGACAATGCGCCGGAAAGACGAGCTGCTTCCACGTGGCTCGGAGGACAGGCGCGCTCGTTCGCCAGGTCCCTCCAGGTTCGCCTCCAGGGCCATGGGGAGAATACAGCTCCAGACTCGGTTTCGGGAACACATCCCATTCTTGAGGACGGATCCCAGATACACTGGCTTGTCGCCCCAACTTGTCGACCAGCTTCGCTCGTCTCTGACGATCCTTGGTTTCAGCACTTGTTGATGGTTCTGCAACTTGTCAAGAACGGTTCGACAACAGACAACACACGACAAAAGCAAGTGCCCTCGGTCACCCGACACAACACCAGACAAAGTATAGTACAACATATACCTAGCTACGTGTCTATCGGAATTTCGTTCCCTCTACATCAAGAGACACATGTGGGACACAAGACTCTTAAAATGACAACTCAATTTTTTTACACGTACAACAAGGTAATGAATTAGAATACAACATAAAGTTGGCTCGTTGAGCTCACTTTGGACGAGAGCGCTCAGCTCAGGTCGTGATGAGGTCAAAATTTTGCCCCGAATCGCCAGCGAGAAACCGAAAGGTGGAGAAAGTACTAACTAAAAGCACGGCTCAATGCGTCTGCATTAGCGTTTAGCTTTCCTTTTTTGTAGCGAACGTCAAAGTTGTGCTGTTGGAGTATCATGCTCCACATGAGTAACCGGCCACTTTTAGGCGACGATATTTATGCGGTACTAAGGGCTGCTCGTACTTGCGACGTTGCACATCTGTGTAACTACAATAGGGGAGCCCAGATTTCTCATAAAAAGCAACATTCCCTCTCAGCTTCTTCTTCTGGACTTCACTTAACCTAGGCTCTAGGTTTAACTGCTCCAAGGTTACCTCCGATCCCCTTTCGATTACATCACTAAAACTCAAAACTTCCGCTCCCTCTTCCTCTGAAGCATTCAACAGCAGATTTACGACAGATTGACGTTGAACGTATGGTTTCATCAAATTACTGTGGTAAATTTTCTTCGGGCGCCTTTCTAATTTCACTTCAAATTTGGTATCAGAAAGCTTCGATATTACTTCGGCGGGCCCTTCCCATTGAACCTCAACCTTCTTCTTTTTGAACGGCCGCAGCAGCATTACCTGACTTCCTACTTCAAAAGCGCGCTTCTTCGCCGATTTGTCGCAGTACTCGTTCGACAACACTT